GCTAGAATGTATACTTAGTTTAAAATATCGGAAATGTTTGCGTAGGTAATAATTATTGTACTACTTATATATACAGATAAATAAAAACATAACAACGGTAGTACTATGTATCTGATTACATTTATATTTTTAAATACTAAATAGTAAATGACCAAAATCGCATTAAATTATACTAACATATACATTTTATTAAATAGGTACCTTTTTAAAGTACTTTATTTCATTTCAAAAGTAATCATTGATTATTATACTGACTGATTGTAACCTTATTCACGATTTTTCAAATACCTAATAAACATTGCATTATGTGTAAAATTATGCTTGATTTACTAAATTACGACACTCATGATTTTCGATTTGATTTCAATTCCTAACCAATAATGTTATAGGCTTTTAGGTTTCAGTTTAGTTATTTTTCACAAACTGCTATTCGTATTAAGCGTATCAATGTATCGTACTTAAATTATTAATGATTTTAATCTCTAATTACATATAAATACTATTATAATTATTATATTGTATAACCATTGTGGTCTGTTTTTTATTTACAAAATTTGACACATAACTATTTATTTTATTTTAGATATAATACAATTATTTAATCAGCAAAGCTGGCAGCTGAAATCATTCCACAMGCTTCCACAATATAACTGCATATGGGAAACGGTATTTTTATGACACTCATAATGTTGGTATGTAAGCTAACTTTAAAAGGCTGACTTTAAAAGTTCAAAACTAAGTACGACCAACAAATTCTGATTACGCCATCATTCCTAGCTCGTTATATAATACGAAAGTAAAAAAAAAAGCGGGTAAGTGGATGTCGCTCTGCTGTAAATTAGGGGGTGGAGTGGACCTCTGACTAGGGTAGGTTAAATTTGAATGCAATGATAGGTATCATTGTATACGAAACATGATTCTGAACGGAGATGGTTTGTCTGTCATATATTATATTTAAATATTGTCATATATTCTATTTTGAAACAAATATTTTATTTTTCAGTTAGGACGCATTTTGCATAAATAAGGCATGGTTAATAATTTTTTCTAAAAACATTGCATGTAGTTATCATAATTCATAATACCTTATATTATCATAGATATACATTATATACCTGGTTTGAGGATAAATCGTTATGGTTATGCGATTTCATAAAAATTTAAAACTCAAACKCTCAAAACATTTTTCTGACCCTTCAAATTTTCTCTATAGCTATTTGAAGCAAAATTATAATTTTTTAATCACTATAAGAATAACTTATGAGGAACTTTGTATTAAATTTTCAAGTATTTTGATTGGGCCAAAAAAATTTTATCGACACTTAAAAAAAATCTCATAAAAACCGAAAATTTCAATGACCTATAAATAACTCAAAAAAAGTCAAAAATTTTTGAAAATTAAACTGTATATGTATAGATAACACTAACATAAACATTTGGTAAAAATTTCAAGTATTTACAGTGATTAATTTTTGAACTACAACCATATAAAAAAATCGATTTGGCCGAAAATTGGTTTTGCGTAAAAATTCTCGTTTTTTTGTGTTTCTCGATTTTTTCGDAAACTGTTGGAAAATGTTTACTTTTGACCTCTATAATGCACCAAGGATCTTCAATTTTACATCACAAACCACCCCCAAAGTTTGAAATTGAAGCATTATTTCGACTAGTTATGCTGTACAGTGTACTGTACACAGACACAAAAAAAACACACACACACACACATCACTCCGTTCAGAATCTAAAACGAAATTTATGGGTGGGGTGGCATAGTAAATATTTTATTACTCTCTATTTTCTTTGTATTAGTTTTATGATATGTATTTTGCATTTGTTTAACATGAAATTTTTCTTAAAGCAGGATATACTCAATTTTATCACTGCACTCAACTACATTGATGCCAATTCGAAGATGTTTTCTGCAGGTATTAAATTTGGTCAACTAATATTTGAAAATTCTATATATTCTATATATATATATACACTATATATTATCCCCAACGGCTCAACAGTCGAGTAAGCCAGCGAGAAAACTTTGATATTTACGCAACAATAGTTTTCACTTTAATCATTTTTTATTTTAAATATTAGTAATTTCGATAGGAACCGTAGATACTTGAAATGTTCACCAAATGTTTAAGTAGATATTATTTACGCAACACTAATTTACGTCAAAATTATATTTGTATTTGCTTAGTAATTTGGAAAGAAAGAATCCCTGATAAAGGTAATTGTCATAAAGTATTTATGTTTTATATTTGAATTTTCTAAACATAATATTATGGATATAGCTCGAAAAATATTGAAGTTTTTTGATTTATTTATAGTCGGGTAGATTTTTTTTTCAATGTATTTATTTATTTAATTCATACAGTCGTAAATACCAAAGTATAATAAGAATATTATTTTTTTTATTTTTATTTTAATTGAGCCTCAACAACAAAGGTTATTGGCCTTAAGCATTAATATTTTTTTACACAAGAATGGAGTTTAACAATAATATATATATATATATCAATAATAATGGTATGAAAAAAAAGGATTGAAATATATCTAGAATCTAGATTAAATTAGTTGGTAAAGTTTAGTTTGTTTTAAATGATTAATTAATTGTTCAATGTTGATTGGCTGAAGACTTAGAGCTTCTTCCAGGTTAATAAGAATATTATTTGTGTACAATATTATTTATCAAGTTAAACTAAATCACAGAAATATCAAATGATGATGCCTTATAGGTTCATTTCATAGAGTTCATCATACCTATTAGACAATTTCATGATATGATTAATGGGCGAATGATAGACATTTAGTTGGTAGATATGTTAAAGACAAATATAATAATAATTCAATCATTTATAATTTTACATAAAATTACCCTAATATTAATCAAGGACAATAATTCAGGGCTATATATCAAATAATTTAAAATAATTTAACAATTTTTACAAAAAGTCAAGCCTTAAGATTTCCAATGTTTTATAATGTTATAATGTTAATTATTTAATGGGGTATTTATTTTGATAAAATATTTGCTTCTTAGTCATAAAGCTGTAAGTTTCATAATTATTGCCTTATAATAAAATATCGAAAACATCGTAAATGCACAATTTTTTTCATAAGTTTTTGAAGTTCCAATTTGTAAAAATGACAATTTTTTTAAAATATTTTGTAGTTGAAAATTCAAAAAATAAAGTCAGTACTAAGGTTGAATACTGATACATGTATGTTGTGAACCTAGGTTCCTAGCTATAAATATATAACTATATAAGTATAGAATTTGGATGGTGAAAGCATTTGTTTTTTGTCTATCAATTAAACATCAAGCTAGATTATATGTTTAATACTACCTTGGCGAGATTAAAAGGAATTTATTTTTATTTTAGTGATTGTTAATCTGCATTTTTAAAAATGTTTTTTGTAGTTTTTTGCAGTTTTTTTATGTTTTTAAGAGGACACCACACCCACACCTACATAATATGTTCTATCCGTCTTACAAACTATTATACCATGGCACATGACGTGTTAAGCTCACAATAGTTATTGTTATTACTCGCACTAAAACTTGTTATAAACTTATAACTATAAATTTATGTGTACATATTGAAATATTTGAAAATATTTATATTTATTTTCATATCACATGTCAGCAAGACATTATTTTAATTTTTATTTGACGTGTTTTTTAGAACAACTGCATTCTAATCTACTCATACATTTTTTTTATAAAATATATAAACATCAATCATATAAAATTACCTTTTTAAAGGTATTTAAAGATACTTAAATATTTTTAATAACATTTAATATTATTGCTATTGATTTTACAATGAATAACGTTTTTGTGGCAAGTAGAATTAATTGATTTATTTAAATGTACAGATACGTAATAACTAAGGCTAGGATTTATATGCATTTGCGTGTTTTTTCCTTAAGTCCAAATTGATTGGTTGTCAGATTTGTCCACGATTTGACTTATTCTCGTTTAAATAGGACCATTTTTTTTTGCATGTTTTTGCATATTTTGGACATAATGCATATAATTGCATATTCATAGATTTTTTTTAGAATTCGATATTTTTTAACTAACATTTTTATAGGTTATTGTTAATTTTAAATGGTACTTCACGAAACCGACAGTTTTTGGATTATCCGTTGAATTTTCGTAAATATATAGCATAACTACTACCTATTTTATCTTAGGTCGGATAATATCCGTTAGTTACCTTATCGTTGATCGGACGACTGGTAGAATTACTTACACATTGTTATACAGTGGACAGTACAGAATAATTGTATTAGTACGTCGTGTGTTGCGTAAATGTGCGGACGTTTATACTTAATAATTTGAATGGTTTTAATAACAGTGTCCTGTGTCTAGTATGCTGAAAGTTCAAAGTGAAAGTGCCAAGTTACGTCTAATTAAACAAATATTTAATGTAATAATATGAGCTATAAAAAATAATAATAAGTAATAATAATAAATTATGAATTATAATAAATAATAATAAMAATTTGTTTTTGCATATTTTGGTAAATAAAATGCATATTTTAYAATTTTTCATTGCATATAAATCCTAGCCCTAGAATAACCATATGATAATTTTTTTGTTCTTTTGGTTTTGTCTACAAAACCGGAATCAAAATCAGAATTGGACTTGTTAATCACTAATTATACATTATGTTTAATGAGTAATAACTCAGTTTATCTACCTGATATAGCATTAAAYGAAAATATTCAATTTAATTTATCTAGTATACAAATTAGTGTGATCATATTTATAACACATATGCCCATTATAATTAATAAGGTAAATATTAAAGATGGTTCTACAACTATTTTCTAATGTAAGAGTAATTAAATAAACTCGTGGAGATTAAAATGGAAATGTATCAGTTACACCACTAAAGGGAGGCTAAAATATATATAGTGGGGAAAGAAGGGGTAGGGTAAAGTACAAACTACAAAGTAAAATAGATTGTAGCAGACAGTGTTTGTCACAGGGACGAGCTTAGTAATCGTTTCGTGCGCGCGTGATGATCATCAACACGAATACTCAATCGCCGTTCTAGTTTTTAGCTAGATTTATTTAGTTATTACTATTTTAGTATTAATTATTAATTTCATTAGAATATCATAACAGCTAAGAAAATCAAAATCATGGAAACTGACAAATTAAATGATAGGGAAAATAAAACCAATGGCGATGCTCAGATTGCTGTGTTAGAAATGGGTGAACTTAATCACTGTTCAATACCATCWACATCGGGAGAAAATAAAAGATCTGGGTAAGAAATAAATTTACTTTAAAAAAATATACATTTGTATTTGTGGAATTTTGATCTTATAATTTTAATTTGTTGTTAGATAGAATGATATTAAACTTAAAATCATTTATATAAGAAAGATAAAATAAAATATTAAGTATAAAACTATTTACAAGTTGTACAAAAAATAAGCAAAATAAAAATTGAATTTTTATAAATCAAGACAAATACCTACTTATTGTCTTAAATTTTCTTGTAGTAATTTTTTTTTTTATTTTATAAAATAATATCAACTTTCAATTTTCCAATTTTTTTTTTTTTAAACATTAATAATTTATATTATTTTATATACAAAATAACACTTGCGTATATTTATACTTACATAGATTTTAAACCAAACTAATTGTTTTTTAACTTAAAAAAAAAAAATAATAAAAGTTTAAACAGTGAATAGAGAGGATTATATGATATTTCAAGTGTGTATGAAATGTTAAATTATTTATAAATAATAACCATTTAAAAACCTAAAGGTATTTTTATTTGAAACAAGTTGATAGATTAAAAATAATAAATATAATTATTGCACTTAATAATTAATTATTAATGCATTGTTTTAAGTATTTCAAATAGATTATAAATATTTCTTAAATTATTATCATGATTATTATTATTTAAATAACTGAATTTAGATTATTTATGTATAATATTCAAGTTATTTGTGGTAATAGTAATAAAATATTAATAAGTTATAAAATAATAAATTTAAACCGAAGTTAGGGATAAAACAAATAAATTGTCATAAACATGACTAAAACCTTAATTTATGTTATGGAATTTGGAATTAATAAATAATTCACTAAAAATGCCAAGGTTTGTTAGAACCTTCTAAAAGTTCCTGTTATTAAACTGTTACTCTAAGACATTTCTTCACGGTGTATTAATAAATATTAATAATGACAAGAAATGATTGTCATCGTAAGATTATTTGTTAATAAAAAACATAATTTTAGTCATTAAAATAGTTTATAATTATTACAAACATTATTTATTGTAATATACCTTTTAGTMTCTATTTTAGTATTTGGTATAAATTAATAATTTCGATGTTTGAAACCTATACACTTAAATATAAATAAAAATAAAGTCTAAAAATTGATTTATTTATTTAGGTAGGTATAGAATAACCTTATACTCGACGTATTGATACAAGTAAAAATATTGTTTTAATAATATTTTAAAATCAAATTAGCTAGGATTATATTTAAAGCTTTTAAGTTATAAAAATATTAAGTTGATTAGATCATGAACATTGATATATCTAAGTAGTAAGTAGCGAAGTAGGTGCCTAAAGTCTATACTATAGACTCTATGTTCTAAATACATTACAAAGTAATTGAAATATAATGTTATAGTGACCATAATTTTTTGAGAAGTTCAATGTAAATGAAATAACTATTGATAGCTTGACCTAAAAAGAAAAATATACTGATAATTTCATTAAAAAAAACCATCAGTCAAAAGGTTAAACCAAAATCAACCTACTCGTATAAGATTATACTCATTATATTCTTTTATGGTGGGTACTTCAATAAAATTTAAAAAAAATGTATTTACAATTTAATCCTATATATATTGAGTATAATATTATAAAATTATTACAAATAAATAATTTATAAAAAACAATATTTATTTATGTCGTAAGTTATGTCATTTTTAAATGAATACCATGAATACGCATAATTCAAAAGCAGGTATAAGTTTTTCTTAATAATATAAAATATGTTTCATTATTATTCATAAATATAAATTAGAATTTTTTTCTAACCTCAATAAGATAGACACAGAATAATATTGGTAACCATTTTACTTAACGAGTGCTTTTATTAAATTAAAAAAAAAAAAGATGTCGGGCTATAATGATCAAACATTTYATCACATACGGCTTCCTTCTTTTATACTATTTTAGGAATTYGAAATTGAATCAATCTCACATATTGACATATTGTAGATCAAAGATTTTGCAAAAAAAATATCCAGGGTACAATTTTAAAGTTATAAATTTACAAATCATTTAATAAACATAGGTAAGGTATAGTTTGTTTCAAATATTATTTATTCAAATAAAGTAAATAATCAACAATAATAATTAAAATACGTACATAGAATTAYATTTTTACAGATTTTGTAGTTATAAAAATAAATAATGGATGTTTTCATAGGGGTAAACTAGATTATACTTTTATCATGTTAATGTTATAAAAATATATCCTGATATTCAATATATAAGGTGATATATATAAACCTATAAAAGGCCTAAATTCATTATTTCAAAGTCTTAATAGTTTTTGAAAATATTATTTTTACATAATTTGATGTCATTGCAAAACCTCTTTTTTCATGTTCCAATTTTTTGAAAGACAACGTACATTTTTATCTATATATATTTATATTTTTCAGTAGTTCAGTATTCAATTCTCCAAATTTGTAAAGTTTGTGAAATAACTTAGACGAGCATAATTTTATAAAATATGCTAAATCACATTTAATTGCACCATTTATTCTACAACCTATTTTAGTTTTTAACAATGAGATTAGGTRGCATAGTCATCATCGTCGTTTATACTTTCAATCACGTTTTTAAATTTTTCAAAATTATTTGCATAGAATGTGTAGTGGTTAACTAAGTTTCATACCTATCTTATATTAATTTAGGTTCTTAAGGCACTCCAGTATAAATACTTAAACGGGATACAATTATATTTCTATGAATGATTCACGATAAATAGCTATATAGGTATCGATTCGTAGAATGATTAGAATAGTTGTCAAATTATTAATAACTAAAATTATCATCACTACAAATTACGATTTAAAAACRTTTTTATATTATATAATTAGGTAAGTAAAATAATGTTTTCGTTTAAACTCATAGAACACATAACATTAAAAAAAAGTGTTATAAGATTGAATAAGCAAAATATAATCTAATATGATATTTTTGAGCTATACACATAAGTAAAAACTAAGAACTTGAAAAATAAATTGCAATATCAATAATATTAATCCAACATTTAGTTATAGTTAATTTTACTCATTAAAAATTTTATTTTTATGTACCAAAATAATCAAAAAAATATGAACATATAAAATTATAGTTTTAAAACTATGTTTTTTACAATAACATCAAATTATGTGAAAAAATATCTTCAAAAACATTTAAAAATAATTAGTGTTGACCCTTAAATTTCCTTCTTTATTAGGTACAACAGTTATTTTACAATTAGGTATAGCTAAAATATTCCATAAATTTCGATTAAAAATTAAATTATTGCACAATTTTAAAATTGGTTTATCTTATTTGACTTAAATTTCTATTTAACTTAACTAAGAATTCGTTCTACTTTAATGCCTTGCCTTTTAATAAAATATTCTGATAGATAAATTCATATTCTTTTAGACATTACTATAACAGTATAGGCAATGTTGGCAGAAGTATCTGTTACCAACATGAAGTTTTATTAATAATAGATAATTAATACATTAAACCATTGAAGCGCCTTTGGGTTATACTTATGAGGTGCTGTAGCTTTGTGTGTTTACTACAGTTATTAGTTTATAGTGCTTATTCTTTATAAGTATTGTTTTTTTTTTAAATTTTATCAATGGTGCAATAATTCAAAATGATTTAATATTAATGTTAATATAACTATTATTATTAACATAATATTAAGAACTTTTTTAATCATTGTAAATATTTAAAATACTAAAAATAAAATTATATTTTATATTGCTGTCTATAATCTGATTAATATATGAAACCATGCGAAAAAATTTAATTATCCACTTTTTTTACACCTATTTAACATTAAGTGTTTGTTTGTAAATAAATTCGCCGTGTTGGAAGTACGTTTTGAATATTTTGGTAAAATTAAAATATTACACATTATCCTTTTCTGATGTGTAATACTCCCTAAATTGTAATTCTATTGCGTASCAGTTATAATCCTTTATTAAAAATCACGGATCGAGTAATAATGGATCGAGTTTAAAATATGCAAATAAATAAAAATAAATTATTGTAGCAATTTATTCATTCACAAATAGGTATTAAAAATGTTGTTATACAAAACATTTACACGCGTTTAAATATCATAAATTAAAATTAAAAACATATGAGTATTTGTTCAAACATTTACTTAATTCTAGAAAAAATGTTTGAAAAAACTTATAACTTAAACAAATATGTAATATTTTTGTCATATACAATTTATAATGTTTTTATGTTTCATATTATTATCTAGATCAATAATAACCAGCCATTATAATCTCTTATGAAAACCTTTTCAGTGCTTGGAATCATAATGACATTTTTCGATTTTAATTTATTGATAATTTTTTTGATAGTAATATATCGATCTTATAATTTTACGATTTAAATAGTTGCATAATATAGATACATCGATATATTTTTTTGAATTAAAATAATTAGGTTTTAAACTACATTTTTTTATATTATTTTAAAATATCGTGTTTGCATTTTTATGATTTTAATTTTGTTTTTTATCAACGGACAAACGTACAAGATTGTTGTTAGTGTGTGTTCCATATATAGTATAAACGCACATATACGACGCGCAGTTGTGAAACGGTCCTTTAAGATAGCAAAATGATCAACTATTGTTAAATTATTTTTATTTTTAATCGATTTCTTTCTAAAATGTTTATARAAATATTACAATTTTGATATAAATTATCGATTTCAGTTTAAACTTTAAATATTATTTTACAAAAATTTAGATTTTGAGATTACAATTGATATTATTGATTTGATTGAGCTTATATAAAAAACAATTTCAAGCCTTATTTATTTTATTCCGTAAATATTATGTGATGAGAAAATGAAAGTTTTCATAAAATATAATGAGATGTATTATAATAGAACACTTTCCAAATGTCTCAAGAATGTGACAATATCAATAATAATATGTACTTCAATAATTATCATCGATAATAAACATAAATTATGTTATGTTATTATGTTACATAATACTTGTTCAGTATTTCAGGGGTTCAAATTATCAAATGACAATGATTGTTAGCTATAATGTATATGTATATATTATTATATGACAAAATTTTTTCTCAAATTATCCATTCAGATGTCAGACACAATAACAATATAAATAAAACTGGAATTTTCAAAAAGAAGCCGCCCATCGGAGGCACTTAAGGTTAGGATTTTAATGTGCTAGTACAAGAGAGTATACAAGATTTAGGGGAGGTAGAGGTATATGCAATTTTAGATGAGTAGGTCACGACACCAGGTACGTTTAAGACGCCTTCTGGGGTCACCAGGAATAGCGTTGGTGATGGATAGTTCGGAAATCAGGGGATTACGATGGCTGTGGAACTTGGAGTATGTGTGCGTTTAAAATTTATGTTTACACTCTTTAAATATTTAGATATGTTAGAAATATTAGACTGTCAGCTTATCAATCTTATAATTTAAAACTGTGACATAATATATTACCATTTTCTACTACTATATGTCTATATGTTAGTTTAGGTTAATCGAGGGTGAATTATCGGTTAGGCTAGGTTAGGTTAATTAACAACCCCGATGTTACTTCCTTCGGCACATCACATAATATCATATCAATAAAGCCAATTTTTACATTTGCCGGGATCTTTTTGATTTTGGCTATTCTTGCACTTATTGCTATTATCACTATTGATAATTTTTTCTCGTCTTTATATTTTTGGCGCTATCCATTATTTCTAACATCTTCATGATTTCTATTCAACTCCCGATGATTTATCTCTTACATTTAATTGTATCTCAATCACTATTTTTTCAATTAAACTATTTAAATTATGAACATTGGTTGTAAGAATATAGCTTAGGTTGAATTTTATAAAACAATCACTCTGTATATCATTTTACGAAATATTATAGGTATGTCTTTTGGCAACTCACATTTAATGTACCTATATATAGAGAAAGAAGTGTATATGTAACATATTATATTATTTAGAAGGGTAAATCAATTAAAGATGCCTATACAATGTTCAATACACAAAAAATGTTCTCATAAATTGTGATAACCATTTGACCATTTTAACATTATCTAATTAATAAATGACCCATTTGATAATGATAATAAATATACATTATACATATATATAATATTTTATGATAAATTAGGAAACCGTTCAATTATAAATAGTCATTTTAAATTAAGACCAATTAAAAAAAAAAATGTATTTAAATGTATTTTTATAAGTTGTATAATTATATTTATTTAATATTATGTATACCTACCTAAGATGAAACCTTAAAATTGTCTATTTATTTAAAATAATTAAGAAAATTAACTATAATAGTTTTGAGGTAGGTATTTTGTAATATATTTTTTTAAAGAATTACAGTTTAATGGTGGAAAATTTACTTATGTTGGCTATTTTACCATTTTCAATAACAATTAACAGGTTATGTTGGGAGGGTGGCGGTTAGCTAACATTTTTTAACATGAACTTATTCAAACAAAATTCATAATTTTGACCACTAYTGATTAACATTATATGCAGGGTAAGTTATCAGTACTTATTTACATAATTTAAAATTACAGATGCCTATAATATACAAAATTTTGTAATGAATCGCTATGAAAGTTTAACTGAATTTCTTGAAACGTTATCAAATCAATAAATTATTATTTTATAAAAGTAAGCACAAAGATTAATTAGTGACTATTGAAAGTACGTATTCTTTATATTTATACCAACTATTCATTTGGCATAATGATTAAAAAATAATAATAAACTAAAGGACGAGACCACAAGGGGTGTTTTTTATTTCATTTGAGGGGTACCTACCTATACATATTTAATGACATTGGAGGATTGGACATGATTCGTTTTTCAATTTCAATATTCCATTTTTTTTTACTACTAATATCTTAAATTTATTCACAAAAAATTTCTTTAGTTTAAACTAAAAAAAACAGTTCGAAATTTATCTTATACTAGGTGCCTATATAATATAGGTATTGTAGTTTATATTTATACATGTGTATTGTGTATTTTAGATACATAAAATATAACTTATAAAACAAATTATGGTTAAACGTAGAATGAGGTGACCAAAGTAATACACTAATACTATGATTTTATTTTTACATTTTTACATTCACAAATTGTATCATCAAATGTTTTGATTAATTGGGGTAGTTTAAATACAGTTAAATAGTGTATTAGAAACTAAGTTAACTTGCACATTTGTAATTTACAACTTTGTGACTTCGATATAGGTAGGTTTAAATAATAATACTAATAAAAATTATAAAAATGTATTTGGTTTTCAACATCGCTTATATGTTTTAAATATATCMGGTTTATTATTTGTATACATTTTTTCAGGTATTTAGTAACACTGATGCACTTTATAAAAGGAAATATCGGCTGTGGAATGTTAGCTATGGGAGAAGCTTTTAGAATTGGAGGTTTATATCTGACATTATGTATTTTGCTATACGTGTGGTTAATTAGCGTCTACAATATGCATATTTTAGTAAGTTTACATAATTATTCGAACAAATATACATATTTATTTTATTCATAGTAAATTAATCTTTATGGTCTTACGTTTATAACAGTACCTAGTTAACATYACTAACATTTACCTCATGTTTAGAAAAACAATTTTAAATTTGTTCACAGACTACATTAAGTAAGAAAGTGCAGAACCGTATGCAAGCCAAACGTGCACCATCATTTGGCGATACCGTCGAAAATACATTCAAAATGTCGGATAAATGGATATTTCGAATTATATCAAATAATATTAAGTGAGAATTTAACTAATAAGTGTTGCTTTACACATTATACATTTATCTTTTTCATGTAGAAAGGTTGTTTTTTATAACATACTTATCACACAACTTGGTTTATGCAGTGTATATATTCTTTTTATCGGCACTTCATTACAAAAGGTAAAAGTGAAARAAAAATGTATGTATTAAATATTTATTATTATTATAATAGGTAAATGATAGTTACATTTTAATATATTCCTATTTGAGCATATGGCTATATATACTATATAGGTTGGTAAAAATGCATGTTAAAAAAGGCGATACGATTTTATTACTAATCAATTTCACTAACTTATAATATTTGATTCTATAGATAATCTATTTATTGTTTAAAATTGTTATTATATTATATTATATATTTGTTCAAAAAACACTAAACATATACTTGTTTTATAAATAAAACATAATTTATTCTTATTGAAAGTAAAATCATAATAACTTTCAAAAAAAATTAATATAAATGGTATTTTATAAGATCATCATGTAAAAGTGCCTTCACTGGAATAGTGGAATGTATCTTTAATCCAACCTTTATGAAATAATTATCAAATTCATCAATTTTACTTATTGTTCAAAATTCATGTAAAATATTGTGGAAATAAAAATAAAGTAATAAAAACAAAATAAGATCATCATGGCTCTTATTGAACAAAATTGTTCAGACGTAGCACTCATCCAAATGGTCTCGAGGCTTAAGTTCTAAATACACAACCTAATTCAATTTACAATAAAAACTTATGTTATGAATAGTTTTGATTATCACTTATTAGCATGATTATATTATTAAATTATTCACATAAACATATTATTATTTTTCAAATTAAATATTCCTGCAAGTGTTCCATTTCATTAGGTAACAGAAACATTTTATCGATTTTTTAATACTTAAAATTTCAATATAGAATTTTTTAAATGATTAATTCCGGCTTTTCAAAGAGTTTTGTATTCTTAATAGAAAATGTTGTTAGTACCTATACTTAATTAGGTAGTAGGTAACAATATTATGGTAAATAATTAATAAATACATATTATCATATTATATAATAAAATTTATGTAAATTAATCGAGATATTAAAAACACACATTGTAAAAAACAATTTAAGTACTTATAGCTTATATGAGATCAAATAAATAATAAACAAACACATAATATATTTAATATAAATCAATTAATAATTAGTGATAAAAATCAATAATTTTACATATTAAAAGATTTTGTACATTTATTTATTTTAATTAGATACATATTATAACTATATTTATTATAAATTGAATAGTAAGCGAAAGGTGAGACGAAATCATGGATTTACATATAGAAATAATTGTTTACAAAAATTACTAAAGGAAATAAAGTATTGTTGTATTTATTATTAAATAAATTATTATTTACATCTAAATGTTTTATATTATCATTAAATTTATAGTGTAGACAAAAAATACCATTTATATTTCAATAAGCTATTATTACGTCATATTTCGTAGTATATAGAGTTTATTGAGTAGTATTTATTATTAATATTTTATTTATCAATAATTTTCAGTATCTTACCTTATTTTCACTTAAATTGCTTTATTTTTGTTTTAATTATTTTGCAGCTGTTACTTCAATATTCGTATGAGATTAATATCCAAACTGTTCTCTTATTTACAATGCCTTTGATAATGGTATGTGCAAGTTTGAGAAAATTGCGATTTATAGCACCATTATCAACTTTGGCCAATTTTGCATTGATTACTGGCGTTATTACGATAATGTATTATAGCTGTTCTGGACCATCAGCTGAGAATGTTCGATATTCATATGCTAAATGGTCTGAACTACCAACAATGTTTGGAATAATCATGTTTAGTTTTGAAGGAATTGGATTGGTAAATATTTTATTTAAATTACATTAATTATTAAAATGATTGAATTATTTATGATAATTGCTTATATTACATATTTTAAAATTATTATTAAGTACAAAACTAATTAAATAAGTGCACCTAATTGTAATAATACAAGAAAAATAACAGAATAATAATAATATTTTAATTTTATAATAATGAATAACTACTATGTATTTTATGCTTCTATTTTTAACTGAATAATTATAATTAACATTAAATCATAAAATAACACTTAATTTAACTGCTTACAGATTAATTGTCTAAGTATACTCCATGCATAATATAAATAGTTGAGTACCAATGATATATCATCGTTTAATATTATTTGTTGTCTAATTGGTATATATTACATGTTATTTAAAGTTATTCTCATTCTAATATACAGGCTGTCCTGTGAGGATATACGATTAGTCGTAGAGGGAGGCTCACCGCTCGCCAGCTAGATAAAAACTAGTTTTTCACCGTTTTATCTATAAACTAAAAAAAAATGATTAAAAATCGTAAGATTAGTGAAAATAAAATGTTTGAAGGTCAAMATTTTCAGAAAAATAAATTCTATAACTGTGGTTCTTAACCTTATTAGAACCACAGAACGCTTATAATTTTATAAGATTTTTGCAGAACACTAGGTCGTAAAGACGTAAAATAAAATAATA